GACATATATGATTTCTTAGGGATCGACGTCATCCTTTAGATCATCATCATCCATGTCTTCTTTTGTGTAATAATATTATAACTGCAAAGAACTATATAGTTACATTTTAGTATTAGTTAGTTATTATTAATATTATAAAATAACTATAAAAATTTAATTTTAATAGATTTAATGATATGAATAATAGGTTTATTTAAAAAGATTTAAATAAATATTGACAAAATATTGAAAATTAGAGGCATACAAATTAAACTAGTTTCATTTTCAAATAGATAAAAATACATCTGAAATGCATTAATTGTTATATGCTTTTTTTCAACTGAATTTCTATTAAGTCCTTGACTATTTTTGAATCGAATTATTATTGCATCCTGATAAAATGATAATATTTCTTCAGAAGGTTGATGAAGTATATAACGGTATAGAATAAGTTTATTATTTTTATGAATATATTGTTTGTGATTCTGTAATTTTTCTTTGTATCTAAAGTATTGGAACATAAAAGGTAAGAAAAGGCACAAGTTATAATGGTCACCTTACAGAAATGATCGTCTATCGATCATTTCTAATTTACTTTAAATTTTACATGAAACCATTAAAAAATGACAATATATACTGTAATAATAAAAGTTTTTCAATTACTCGGAATAAGAAAAGGTTAAATTACAATTTATTAAAATGTGTTAACAACTTAAAGTAAGTAAATCTTCGGCAATGATAATTTTATAATGTTAGCATATATAGACATATTGATTTTTGAAATGTTACATAAACTAAATTACTAATGTTAATAGCAACTACCAAAACCAACCAAAGATTGTGTAATGTAAATCAATCACCATGTGTATAGATAATATAGTTTATGAAGTTGTATTTTATTTAATTGTTTTGTACGTATAATTTTTTTTTTTTTTTTAAAAAAAAAAACCATTTCAATTTGAAAATGTTATTAATCATTTTAATATCTTTGTTGACTCTCTTAATATTTAAAATCAATCGTTCATATCCGTCTACAATTCCTCCAATTGTTCAAACAATATTTCAAGCAATTTCGGTTCTTTTAGCAAATGTATTCATTGTTATTCCGATCACTTTCGTCTTATTTATACGAGACATGGGATCGATATTTTCTAATAAAGAACGAGTAGATCCAAAAATCATTTTGATTACAGGTGCAAGGTATATTTATCGTAAAAAAAAAAATAATAATGTTTTAATATCAAAAGGTCATAGATAATCAACATTCGTCTGGTTTTTAGCTCTGGTATAGGAGAATCTCTTGCAAAAGAGTATGCGAAACCTGGAAATATTTTAGGTCTTTTGGCTCGAAACGAAGGTTTGTTTGCGTCTAATCTCATGTTTACCGTTATTTTTAGAAAGTTAAAATCAAATTTTTTCTTTTTTATTAGAAAAATTAAACAAAGTAGCCAGAGTTTGCGAAGAAAAGGGAGCAAAATGTGAGATTTTGAAAATTGATATTTCAAATATCGAGGCTTTAACAAATGCTTTAGAAAATTTCGACGACAAATATCCCATCGACTTGTTATTTGCTAACGCTGGTAAGTTCACGTCATGTGACGCAGCAAACCGAATATTAGTAGCTTGTAATGTTAACGTTATGTATTCTTATTAGGTCAACTAGCTGCTACAAGGGATAATTTTGGTAAATTCGAATGGGAAGACTCATATAAACCTTATATTGACGTGAATTATACTGGGAATATTGCTAGTATAATGACGGTTTATAAACGAATGAAAGTACGAAGGCGTGGTCAAATCGCAAGTACGTGTGGATCCTTCATTTTAATTATAATTTTTCTTGCTCATTCTCAATTATTTCTTTTTTGTAACCCTAAAATTTTTTCGCATTTCACCTTCATAGTTACCTCTTCAATTGCCGGATGGTTAAGTACACCAATGACAGCATTTTATAGTTCCATGAAAGCAGCAATAAATTCATTCGCACGTGATCTACATTACATTGCTAAACCGTATAACATTCACGTGTCACTTATAGTGCCAGGATTCATTAGAACGGAAATGACGACAAATCCCAATCAACCATTTTCCCATAACCCTCGTTATTATGAAAGTTCTGATAATTTGGCAAAGATCATCAAACAACAATTATCTTATAATGTGTTTCAAATTTGTTGGCCTTATATGCAATATTTAATACCTTTTACTATGACCACTTATCCCACTAGAATTCAATTATTATTATCTAGCCTTTTAGGTAAATATACTATAAGAGGTGATAAAAAAGTTATATTATCTTAACAAAAATTGCATTACTGAAACGTTATTAAATAAAGTATTTTTCGCGCTTTTGATAATCTAAGATTTATGTCGATCAACAATCAAAAAATCCTATTTAATGAATAATTTGAGCTGACAATGACATTTTGAGCATTCAAAAAGAAAGTTCAAAATATGAAGTGTACTAATTGTAAAGTTGATAAATTATCTCAAGAATTTCCACCAGATGTTATTAGTAAAAATTGTTTTCATGTCCCTAATTTTTGCTTAAGGGTAAATTTATTTCAGTTTAATGAATACTCCGTGAAAAATACATTTATTTATTTATTTATTTATTTTTACTTCTTTTGACAAATCCAAGTGTGTAATAGAACATTTATGTGTTCAAAAACAGAATGAAGCGCAACAAACTTGTCCCGAATGTGAGGCAATTCTTTCAATTGAAGAATTTGAAGATTTAGATTTAGCGTGGGAAAAGGCTCCATTTCGAATTCATATTGAGAAAATATCGGAACCGGAACCAACTACAGAATATACACAAAATGGAAATGATTTGAAAGGGGATTTTTATATAGTTTTGTTGAATGGTACTAAATTAAAATTTGGTTTGGAAAGTATTAAGAACGTTTTATCTTTAAAAGAAGCCATAAATAAACAAACTACTATTGAAATCGATAAACAAAAGTTGATTTATAAAGGAGTTGAATTACAAGTAAGTTGTTTATGTAATTTTAAATAATATCTTTATTTTCTTTTGATTCTTTTTATACACAATGTTAGACATATTCAACTCATGGGAAAACTCCAAGACAATTGTCCGAATATTCAATTGTAGCTGAGTGCCATATTCAACTTTTAGTTCTATTGTATTCAATTTCAAAAGAACTATCCATAAACGCATTAACGTTTGACTTGTTTTGGGAATATCCAAGAGATAAAAGACGTGACTTTTTGGATGGTACGTGTTTGATTTATACAGATACTGGATCAAACAGCCATATTTTTGATTATAAAAGGAAAACTTTGGTTGATATTCCCAGTATGGATCATTCTGGTGATGTCGTAAATGATGCTGCAAGGAGAGGTTAGGAATTAAACTTTGCAAATTACATTTAACGATATATGTGTATATTTTTTTTTTTTTAAAAAAAAAAAATCCTTTTTAATCATTAGGACATCATCGTATAACAGCAAATTTAGCTGAGATGCCATCAAATGTAACGAAATTATATTTCGTTTTGAGCTCTTGGTCATCACCAAATATTGGTTGCTTTCCGAATCCCTCCTTTAAAATGTTTGATCCTTCAAATCCTAATGTACAACTATGTTCTTATTCTATAAGTTCTGCTGCTTCTTCGCGAGCTGTTATTATGTGCGTAGTTTCCAAAAATCGCGAAGGTTATTGGAATGTATTTGAAGTTGGTAAATTATCAGACGGTAACGCACGTAATTATGCTCCAATCAATCATACCATAATGAATATGGATCAATTCTTTTCATGATGGTGAATTGCATAATTGTAACTTGTATATACAGAGGGTGGACAAAAGTATCCGCACACCTCCATAAACGTGAATTAATGCTAGTAAAGTCATATGATCACAA